GGTAAATGATTACATTAGGACCTGCACTGACTGTCCACTCTAATAACAATACGATTAACAGGGTCCAGGTTAATTGTTTTGCTAGCTCACTTAATCATGTCATTTTGATGCAAGACTGGTTGATTTTCAAAGGACCAAGGTGTAGGAGGGACGGGGGAAACACAGACAATGCAGTCCGGTAAATGGCGAAATGCCTAGCTATCAGACAGAATTTGAACACCGCATGGAGAAAATCTCAGCAATGCTTTGATGGTAACACGGTGCTGCTCACTGTTTGACCCACTTTGAACAAAATATAAAACTACACTACAAAATATCACTATACTTTAAATTAATGGCCATAAATGATATGTACTATCGGATATTAGNCCTCCCATGTGTGTGTGTGTGGTTTATAAATACAGTGTTTTTTAATCAGCCGATCGATTTTCTCCGATAGAAACAACAAAATAGCTTGGAAAATTTGCCATGTAGACATTGCTTAATTCACTTCACTTATTCCCATAGCCTCAACTCATAGCAATTAATTAATTAATTTGAATTAACCGATAATTCGACTTCAAGTAATAATCAGTTTGTAAACTGATCACATTCCCGCCTCCGAGTGTGTCTGAAAGAAACCCGGCAGACATCATGTCGTATCCCGCGGTCAGACCATTCGTTGCAACTTGGTATATTTTGCCGTTGTTTTAGGTTGACTACATTCACTTGATTTCCGTCGCCACGCCTCGTTAATACCCAGTCCTTGGTATCGCCGCAAAAACCGGCGTCCCTCACTGCAGCAGCCACTGTTACACTCAAGCTGTAGACTGACAGGCCATTTCGCGATAACGCTTTCGTCATTCCAACGTGTCCTTCTATGTGTTCTCAGCTAGAGAGAGAGAATACTGACATCCAAGAATTTTCTTCGGTTTCAGATGCGTTGATTATAGTCAGTTTGCTCTATTTTTGTCACGTTGCTAATCAGACTGGTCTGCCCGGTTTTGGTAGATTGATTAACGCACTGGGAAACCACGACTCTATCGTAATATGTCTGAATTGGTCGCTGATCTCGGTTGACGCTGGTATTTTCGCATTTACTGCCGTGCATGTTTTCCAAAAGACCGAGTCCTTCAGTCGTCGGGAATAAGTGGTGGTCCTAAATGCAAAACTAACTTCAAGTGATCTGTTCAAAAGCCTATGAGGACGGGCTAACCCGTTTCGCTTCCTCTAGCTCTCTCTCTCTCATTCTCTTACCGTTCGGCCTGGATTCAGATACTTAAAGTGAACTAAGAATGGACTCAGTATTTTGTTTCGGGGTGTTGAAACATTTACAGGTACTAAACATACACACACGGATGCATAATTGCGTGGTATCGTTTGTGCGCCCCGATGTTGCACGCGTGAACTCGCGTTCATCAGTACCCTAGAATAATGTCATGCAACTCGAAAACACCACTTTCTACCAGCCGTTTTGTTCCCTTTTGAGGAAATAAAGCAAATGGCGTTGTTCAATAACCTTGAGACAGTGTGTGTTTGTGTGAGTGATGCAAGCAATGGATTGTCTTGAACCCTTGGTCATTCTCTGGTCAACGTGTTTTCGTTTCGCTTTTTTCACCTTCTCTTGGTACTCAATGCTCCCAGTTCCCCATCCGCATTCTTGTCTCATCGAATTCAGTTTAGTCGGCTACGCTGGCTAGTAGACACGTTTTGCGCATCCGCAGCCATCGTCTGCCCCACCGCGCCCTATTTACGGTTGCGGCTTCAGGTTGGAATAGGCCACGTGGAGGTCAACAGATGACGTGGTAACGAGACATGCACACATCGATTAAATAGAATAGGTGTCTCCCGTCTTCCAGTTTGGGGTCCAAAAGACTCCGTAACCACATGGTTGAAGACACTGAAGGATATGACAACTAACGGACAGCATTGACGTTCTTGTTATTATTTCTTATCAGGTCAGAATGCTTGAAAAGGTACACATCAATTGTGTACTCTATGTATTGACCGTAGCGATTCACTTTCCTTTCCACCCTCCAATTAGGACTATCTCCATCTTGTACTGTATCACTTAATTGGTGTACATTGAGATTTTGGCATCGATCGATGAAGTTCGTTTCGCTGTATCTCGCTGTGCGATGATGATGGTGATCCACATTCCACATTGTGACTTGGTTCTTTGTCTGAGCGGCGTTGATCGGGGCGAGGGAATAGACAGCACCAAGTCACCAGGATGCTACTTGCGTATCAGCTTTGATGTTGCACTCTGTGGGCGTGTGATCCTATTAGCTGGACACTGGCCCCCAATAAAGTGCGGTTTTCACACACCGCCCCACTGCGTTACAGGTCAATCAAAGGTTCCGGTTGTCAGTTTCCCAAGAAAATTCACCTACCTTGACCTGAACGACCTGGCGGTGTCACGCCCACAAGCAAATCGTGGAACTTCTTTTTCGATAATTATTGTTCTACTATGATTTATTTGGCACACGGTCTTGACTCATTCGGGTGTGGATATATACACATACATATACATATACAAAAACAACAATCAACATTGTTGTTTACCAAACTGTCATATACATATCCGTTCATCGAGTTCAGTATATATGTATATATCATGATAAGTAGTATATGAATAACTAGATGAAATTTTCCTGGAAGCACACGACCGGTTTCGTGGTTCTTTCCGCTCATCAGGCACTCGTATTCGGTAATCTTTTATCAGATCATTTATATGAAGATAAATTCATGTAGGCTTAATTGTGCTGCGATGTGCATCATGCATATAACTGCACTCTAACTGGCTTTAAACTGTGTTCATTCAGCCGTGGTTAACGCATATCAGTATCCGAATATTTCATTACTACACATTGCGAGAAGAGTATAGGAGTGAGCAAGCTCGTTTTCGGTGATTCATTCAATAATTTATACATCACAATTTGTATCGCTATATTCCGTAGGGGAAAATTCATTCTGCGGGGCTTGCCCGTAATAAGCCCTTGTCGATCGTTGACGTCGACTGTGCAATCCGGCAGCACGTTTGCAACCGGCCCCCTTTTCGAGCATGATTGAAAAGAACTCGAAGTTAGAAACTGAAAAACGGAAGTTGTGCTGTGAATTCGATCGTGTGTTAGATGACAATTCGGAGTTGTATCGCAGTGTTCAATGCCGAAACATTAAGAGATGCCATCTTGACCGAGCTGGATAAATTGATCAACGCTTTCAGCTTATTCAAGTCTTCTGTCGCTGATCAACTCGAGCGCGACCAGAACGTCGACTTGAAACAGTTTGTCGAGTCGGTTGATCAGATCATAACAACGATCAACTCTTTTCTTAGTTCAGACCAATCAGAGCTGGTTCAAGCCAAATTGGACGAAACTTATGAACAGTGCAAACTGACGGCGGAATCCTCAGAACTGGATACCCCAACGGATCTATCCCGCGAAGCGGATGGGGATGCTCATTCTTCGTTGATAAAATCGGAATGTGAGAACGAAACGGTGGATAATAGTCGAACCCATAGATCGTCGTGGATGTGAATTACGTGCTCGTCGTCTGGCGTGTAAGAGACGCATGGAGTCCGTCGAGGTCAATTTGTATCGCTATATTCCGTTGGGGATTAGGGATTCATATTTAGGTCCGGAACGGAAGCGAACAGAATCCGCCTACATAGTCCACCATCTTTGCTCACAAAAGCAATTGGTAAGAACACTCAGTTCTCCGTGTCCATCACTACAACAACGCAATCACCCCCGAGCGCTCCACCCCACCCCCCTGGCTGCTCCCCATTCGCTCCTATTGACCCGAACCGATGCACATGTATGATGACCAGCGTGTGTGTGTGTGTGTGTGGTCAACATCCGGTAGTGAAATTGGAACGTGATCTTTTTTGTTTCTTACCTCGTAATGATTTTCTTTTCCCACACCAAACAGCTGTTTCTTGATTCTGTTCAAATCAAGCGCCATCCCATCCCGTCCCATCAGCAATACGAATTTTTCCAAAGAAATCCGTTTGCGAATGGTGCTCGGTTTTCCCTCTTGTTGTTGTTGTTGTTGTCGTCGTCAGTTTTCAACCCATAAATGACATTCTACTGGATTAGAAAGCTGATTTTACGTTCAAACATTCTAAGTTCATCTNCCACTTAACTGTGAATGATCCACTTTTCAGGTAGGTAGATGGGTGATTTAATTAGGTTGATCTGATGGCCTATGTCTGGAAAACTGTATCTTATTCGAGTTTGGACTGGTGATGCGAACCTTGGAATGAGCAACCATTATCATGTGATCTGTTGATGGTACGCATTTAGACTAATCCCATTGCCGATAAAAATCACTGCTGGTGTGCGACCCCGTTGATGCTGGATGATCATTATCGTACAGGGGCTAACCGAGGTTAGCATAATTTAGCCTTATTTTGTTCTATTCATCCCGCAAAATTATTCCTCAATTTTACTTGTAAACTAAAGTGTGGTTCGTTTAAAGTAGATTGTAATTCGTCTAGTAGGCAGGTGCAACCCATATCCTACATGCCGTTACGCAGATCGTCAAGGCCTCACAAACAGCTCTCGTGATGCCGACCTGCACAGGATAACCTCGGGGTCCCCAGCCGAAACCGTTGACCTACAAGATAGGGGGACCGAGCTCAGAGTTCGCGGTCCATTGGGGGTCGGTATCAAGTTCGTCGGATCATACGCCCTCCGGACGAGGTCAAACGTCCAATGTGCCCAATGCACGTCGATACTCTATCCAGTTGGTGACCGCCGTCACAACTTGGAAGATGTGGGTGTTTGTGATTCGTACACCTATTCTTGGTTGATTTGGAATCAGGGTTTTCAGCCATCTCCCATAAGCGAATTATCCGTAGTTCACTAACCCGGTTGTAGCCCCGGCTATTAGCTTTCCATCTTCTCATTTTGGTAAACACCTCCATCCCACAGGAAGATAGTGAGTAGGGCTTTCTCACAGAGGCTGTTTGAGTCACTTGGACATATGGAAACATTTCTTGGTTTAAGGGAAGGTTAGCCACACAACCCGAGACAGCAGCCTCCTGACCATGAGGAGGCATTCGGCGACTAAGTTTATAATATTCACATTCCGGTCATGTGTAGTCTCTCAATTGAAGGTCGCTCATTAGGCGCGTCCGTATTCGCGTACACGTATACTCTATTTGACCG